TCTCCTTGCAAATTGTTGTTACCAAATATTAACGCCTTGTATTATATTTAAAGAAATTTAATGAAGAATCTGCATGAATACATGTATGTTTCTCGCACTGTGACAAAAACGACGGAATCTAGAGCCATCAAATTTTGAATAAGTGTAATCCTCACCCGAAACATGGGCACTCTGGAACGGTCGAATTTCGAATTTGTTTTAATCTATTTCATATTTTGTAAAAGTGTTAACAATGAATTTTTTATTAAGAAACTCAACGAAGTTCAAAGCGAGCAATGGTAAGCACTGTACTGAAAATAACATTTTTATCTCCAGTGCCGGAAATTCTAAAGATATGCTGTTTTCAAATGTATGTGGTTTACGGGCGAAGAACATGATGATTTAATAAATATAGGTACCACACAAAACGTTAGAAAAGGTTCCTTTTGGACGTAATATAAAATATGAGTGCGTCTAGATTTTATTTTATCTTTTTTTCCCCCCTTCATTATACTCAGAAAAGTTTTATGCTCCAAATTTTATAAATTAGTAAAATAAATAATCCACTTTAATGTTAATAATTTAATGATGATATAATCAAATAAATGATCGTTTTGGTAATCGTATTATAGTTTTGAAAGTCACTGCCTGAAAATGTTCATTAAATTAAAAAAAAATATCAGATCTTGTTTAATTTTATTTTATTTATTTGAAAGCATCACGTACTATCAATATTATTTAATTTTACTTTATTTTTACGCAAAATTAAGTTAATAAATTTTTGTGTTTAGAGTGTTTACCGTTTTACCAAAGGAAATATGTTTGTACAAGAATTATGCGTGAAAAAAATGCGCGCAATGCAGTAAAAAGTGCTTTAATGAGATTTATTAAATCCTATTTGGAAAAAACTGTGACTTTCATAATATCATCACTATACAACATATCACATTTAATAATTAAAAAGAGTTATGTGATACAAAGGCCATAGGTTTCAGTGTTAAAGTAAACCAGATCGTCCCTACTCTTTCTTGCGGACATGTCGGTGACGCGCGCCCCGCCCACTGGGTTAGTCTATTTCTTATAAGGTCAATGATTTCCAGATCGCAGTGAAACCCGAGGATGTCGAAAAGACAGCTTTCATTACAAAATCAGGCGTATATGCCTTTTTGAGAATGCCGTTTGACTTAAGCCGGCTATATTTCAGAAGGCTATGGATATCTTTTTGAGGCCAGTCTTAGGCAAAAATACCGTTATTTTCCCAGATGACATTATAGTTACCAGCGAAACGATGGATGAACGCATAAAACATTTGGAGGAAATTTTTACTTTGTTTAATAAAGCCGGCCTCAAGTGTAAGTTTGCTGACAAAAAGCTTAGGTATTTTGGTTATAAAATCTCGAAAAAAGGTATCGAGACCGGTAGTTCAAAAATATTAGCGATTAAGTGTTATCCACCTCCAAACACGGCTATGGTGAAAGAATTTATCTTCCTTTTGGGACATGTGTTCTTATTATAGAGTATTTATAAAAGATTTTACGAAAATATTTGAACCCTTTGTAGAGACATTAGGTATTTTTTGGAAGCAGGCAAGATGAAAAATGAGCAATCTCCTTCGCCGGACCTCCGGAATACAGGCCCAGCGTGCAGAACCACTACACCACGAAGGCATGCTAGGAAGGCAGGGAAAATACCTTATATCTTGTTAGTTCTTAAACGCAAAAAAAGTAGATTCACGTGAACAGCTGAGGCGAACACAGCGTTTGAAGAATTGAAGAACGCCCTAATTAATGTCCCAGTTCTTACATTCCCAGAAGGGGACCAAAATTAAGAGATTGCAGCAGATGCATCAGATTACGCTCCATTGGCGAGAGGTCTGGTGACTTGCCAGGCCACAGGAGTACGTCATATCCTTGAAGACATTGTTGGAAAAGTTGCGCGCTATGTGGACGAGCGTTGTCTTGCTGTTAAATGGCATCTGGGTGACTTTACAACCGGCGTTAAAATGTCGTCCATGTACCTGCGAGCTATCTTAGTGCCTTGAATGACGACTAGAGGTGATCATGTGCCCCAACAAATCGCTATCCACACTGTTACACCTTGTGTAATCGCTGTATGCCGCTCGACAACAAATTCCAGATCGGACCACTGGCCTGGCCACCTCCACATGCATGTACGTTGGTCATCAGCATTGAGACTGAATCGTAATTCATCGCTGAAAATCACACGCCTCCGGTTGGTCACACCGTGGCATGCCAGAGTTCGGCAAAAATCCAATCGACACTGCCTGTGATGTGGGATCAGTGGTAAACGTTTTAATGGACACGTCGGCCAGTCGTCACCGAATGGTTTCCCTCGATACCACCGGATGCTTGGAAGGTGGTAAATGGCGTCGAATACATGCTAGCGACTTTTGGTGCGGAAATGGCTGCTCTTATGATTGTGCGATCCTCGCTCTCATTTGTGTGCGTCTGGGACGCCCCGAACCTTCGCGACAGTAAGCTATCTCTTCCGTGATTCACAATACCGAACAAGTAGCATATCGCTTTGACCGATGTGGCGGCCAATACGCCTGTTTGACCAACCTGCTTCTCTGAGGCCTACTATACGTTCCTTCTGAAAGGCTGACAACTATTCCTACTGCCGCCAGTTACGTCTCAGAGGCATTTCTAGTCACAATACCGTCCATCCAAGTTGACAGATTCGTTTAAATAGGCGCAACACGAGCAATCATGCTTTAAACTCTCTCAGCTGCGCATCTCGTATGCGCATAATGTGCTTAAGCTTGTCTCATTGGCGTCGAACTTTAAATCATTTGCATATCTCTTGCTATATTTCTGCCGAGTTTCGTGATTCTAACTGAATTTCTTCTGGGTGCTTTTTTTTTTTTTTTTTTTTTTTTTTTTGTGTGTGTGTGTGTGTGTGTGTGTGAGATAGAGCGTATTTGAAACTGGGAATGGGACCTTATTTGCTGCTTTATTCTTGTTTAATGGTTTTAGAAAGTTGGTTATTGAGCATTAAGTTTAGATTTTAGCTGCCTTACGTTTTCTTTGCTTAGAGCAGAATTCAGTGGAAATCCTTTTCAATGCCTGCGTGAAGTGTCATTCGACGTTTCTTCCCAACTGATACACTTGTTTAGCACAGTAAACAGACACATTTGTCATTTACCTGGGCAAAGAAGTAATCGCTTTCTCCTTCCGAATGAAAGTGTTCAGTTTTTGCTTTTTGCTTGAACACGCCATCATTAGAACAGACTTAGCTTAATACCAATGCGTGTATCAAATTATCCAAGTTAGCAAAACGTCTAATATGCGCATCAAAAAATGGTAATTCTGTTACATTAATATTGTTCGGATGTCAATGAATTTTTTAAAAATTAATTTGACATATATGTGCATATACACAACCTTGAAAAAAAAAAAAAAAAAAAAAAGGTAGCAACGTTAATTAAATTTTTATTTCATGGCATTAACTAGATTTGCTATACATAACGTGCAAAAGCTCACTCGTATACAATCAACCATGTATGCAAATATGGCAGCTGCGTGGGAGAAACAAACATTGTTTCAACAAAAATGTTTTCTAATGAAATCTTGCAACAAAAAACTGCACTGCGCCCCGATCTCCAATAAGGCAGTCGTTGGTATGTTATTTAATAAAATTTGAATTTCATTGAAAGCCAAATTGTGCACACAGATGGTAGTTAATTTAAGTAGTAAGGGATTTTTCTTCGGTAGGGTTGACGGACCCTCTTCTCGGGCACCTTAACTAGTTTAAATTGCTTTTTTTTTTTTCCTGTTTCTTGTTTCTCCCGTTGCTTCGTTTGAGGACCGACAAATGATTTTCTTTTCTAATCCAAATTTTTTGCTACCGCCTTTCCACGGTCGCATTTGACTGGCGATATGGATACTGCCTATTCTGTGATTTTTGCTGGAGCGAAAATCTCGAGTACTGGCTTTGGCCAAAACTTACCATACGCATTTTCTCCGAAGCTTGCCGGCATTCGAACTTTATGGCAAGTTGAAACAAGCTTTCGACAGTGCTAAATCTTGTATAGTGGGAAACAGACGCGGTAGAATGACTTCTACTAACTCGACGTCTCTCCTGTTTCCGTACAATAAGTTAAATATTTGGATTTTTCCTGGAATGAAGTCCGTTAATTCTTCCACCTTTGGTATTTACACTTCAAGCTTGGCGCGGTCTTTCAAAAATTAAATTTTTCGGTTCTTTTTTTTTTTTTTTTTTTTTTTTTTTCAAATAGAACATACGTTGTCCTCGTGTTTTTGTTTACGCAAATGTTTGAGAACATCGCCCCTCCCACAGTGCGAAATCGAAAAATCGCAATTACATACGGTATACATCGCAAATGCATTACATTTCCTTGAGGAAATTATGGAAGGAAAGTCATCTGTGTACGGGTTTTGAAAAGTACATAACTAAAATAAAAGGTTTAATTTCTTAAACGTTTTCTCGAAAGCAAGTGCATACACCGCTCAGCGATAAGATGAACGAAATAACGATTTCGATCTTGCTTTGTGCTCATTAAATAATTTATGCCAGATGACACACAATGGCGCTCGATACTCGTTAGAGAATTGGAACACGACGTTATGGGACACACGAGCTCTCACTCACAAAGCAGAATTTCAACTCACAAAGAAATTTCTCACTGACGAAATTATTTTGGTTTTCTTTTATATGTAATCTAGAGAAAAATCAAGTGCTTCCAGATTCGAAGAAATAACGAAGTATTAACCCATGCTACATAATCGTGAGAAATTTTAAGAATAAGAGACAGTCGGAAGAAATATGTTTTAAATCGGGTTAGAGAGAGAGCGGCTAGAAATCAGGAGTTTCCAGCCTAAATCGGGAGAGTTGGTAATTCTGTTACATTAATATTGTTCGGATATCAATGAATTTTTAAAAAATTAATTTGACATATATGTGCATATACACAATCTTGAAAAAAAAAAAAAAAAAAAAAAAAAAAAAAAAAAGGTAGCAACGTTTATTAAATTTTTATTTCATGGCATTAACTAGATTTGCTATACTTTCTAATACAGTATTTACGTCAAGGAATAATTTTATTTTTCAAAAAATAAACAGGTACCATACATGTACGCATTTAATGTTTAGCTCTTTGTAAGCGTTCTTTTAAGTAATCAGTCATTGTTTTTTCTTCAGTATTCTCTCCGACTACTGTGAGATGGGAATATATATGATCCAATGTTGTTTCGCTTATTGAATATTCTTTTATTTTTTCTTGACGTTTTGCCTTTTCCATTTCGTTAAATATTTTAGACCATTTCAGATCACGGTTTGGTATGTAATAGGTGAGAAAATTTGGGTACTCTAATTTTAAAACAGCATCTGGAAATATTTGTTCTAAAAGAACTTTTACTTCATCAGTACTTTTGGAACCAGTGATAGCTCGTCTTATTATATGTCTCCTGGGAAGTTTAACAAATAAAGTAAAACCTTCTCCATATTTATTTTTCAGTTGTTTTAAGTCACCTATGTAGCACAGAACTCCTTTCTTCAAAATAGCTATCCTATTGCAAAGCACTTCACATTCATCCATTCTGAAAAGTTGAAAGAATATTTCATAAATTTGTTCGGCTTTTTCAAACAATATAAATGCAACTTCAAGGCAATTTGTATACTCAGACAGTTTACAAAATAAAGAGAATACCAAAACCAAAATACCATATATAAGAAAATATACTATATTATTCTGTATGACTTTGATTACAATTTGTTAATCGAATTGTAATCAGTTTTTACTATCAAATATATTTAAACGAGAAAAATAATCTTCTAGATTACGTACGAATAGTTCTTAAACATTTTCAGGTATTTTGAAAGTAGGGGCTTATAACCTAGCATTTAAGTATCCAAGAGACATAAATACCGTAGATATTCAACTAGGAATATCTAATTTTAAAAATCCGCGGACTTTATAATAGTTCTGGTAGCTAGAGCAGGATCACATTGTTTTAAGATAATTCAAAAATATAGTTTAGTTCAATCATACACGAATTCAACATTTGGGTTAAGAATATTTTTGACGTTCTCAATATTTATCGTGAAAGAATGCTTTGGAAAAATTTTAAATTATAATAATAAAAAAAAATCTGACGTGGAAACCACATGACTTACTTGTATGTCCTATTAAATTATACACAGTTTTTGGTGCATTTCAATGAAACTTATTTCCTCGAATTTCATTAGAGATATATTTCTCATTCAATAAATTCAGTTCTCACTTTGCGGTACAGCAAATATACATAAAAAGTCAAAACATATTTATTAAAAATTGTAAAATACAGAAAATCATAAAACACCAAATGCAGTTAAAACAGTTTAAAAAGAACAATTTTTATAATTAAAATTACAGCTTCTACGCAAAACAAGGAATTCGAACAGCGGGCAAGTGGAACACAAAACTGGAAGTTTACTTTTGGTCCCAGTAGTGATTCGCGTTTATAGGGAATCAACGCAAAATGCCAAATCGAAATTAATAGCCCTTCTGGGATAATGCCCTTTGAGCTAAAAATTACCTACATATAAGAATAAAAAACTTCAAGCAAGGTAACAGAGTGAGAATATATATATTTATATGATTTGTGCAGCCGATTGCAACGAAAAAGGGATATGCACAACTACATGTTCTAACAGTCTCAGGTACAAGGTTAAAACGTTCTATGGCTACTTCTTCTTGAGTTATACGAGATACATACATACGTGCGTTCAGATATCAAGAAAAAATCTCTTCTGAATCCATTTAAAATTCGCTTTGGCAAAAACAGTCCTTTATTCTGTCCGTACGTACAGATGTGACGCAAAAACATCTCCGTGATTCCAATAATTCCTTTATTTAGTACAAAGAAGTAAAATAAGCTATGCAAATTCTTGTCATGGGTATTAGAAGAAAAAATCTGATGCATATATCGCATGACTTCCTTGTACTTCCTATTAAATTATTCACGTTTTTTAGCGCATTTCTTTTAAACTCATTTTTCTCGAATTTCATTAGATATATTTCTTATTCAATCAATTCATCTCTCACTTCGCGGCAAGCAAAAATACATAAAAATTCAAAACATCTCCATTAAAAATTGTCAAATACAGAGAAACATAAAACACTAAACACAATTAAAAACAGTTAAAAAAACAATTTTCAGGATTAGAGTATCTAAACGATTCCCATAAAAAGAATTACGTTACCTCGACTGGAGCTTTTAGAAGCTCGACTCATCACATATATTATACATTCGTAGAAAAACTTAGAAATGAAGATTTATATGTGGACAGTTTCAGAAATTGTACTACATTGGGTCAAGGCTCATCTGACGAAATGGAAACAATTTGTACGAAATAGATATCTAGAAATCCAAGAGACAATTGATCCAGATTGGTGAAATTATTGTCCCAGCCATGAGAATTCTTCGGACTTATTGACGAGATGACAGAAGGTAGAAATCATTTCAAAAAAGGAATTGTGGTAGCATGGTCCACCTTGGCTTGTTAAAGATAACAACTTTACTTCAGATCTTCAAGAAATTTTAATAAAGATGATAAAATAACAAATTCTGAGAAACGAAAAGGAAAGAAACAAGAAATTGCTGTTAAGCAAACTGTATTGTTGAAAACAGCGAGCCTATCATTCCTATCGAGAACTTCAGTGACATAAAGAAAGTATATAGAATAACACCTTATGCTTTCAGATTTATCAATAATATGAAAAACCCAAAACTCAGAAGAATTGGACCTGTCAAGGCTGAAGAGATAACTGAAGGAGATAATTTCTGGATCAAGAAAACTCACGAAGAAAACTTTAGAGAATAAATAAGGAAATTAAAGATGAAACAAACCATAGATAGTTTGAAAATATTTACATTAAATCCATTTGTCGACTCATAGGGAATACTCAGAGTAGGTGGAAGGCTTCAAACTGCTGGGTTAAGCTATAATCAAACATACACAGCAATATTACCTAAGAAGTCTCATTTGACAGTTCATATCATTAAAGATCGTCACGAAACGCAAGGACACGCTGGTGAGAAAGTTAGAGAAAAATTTTGGATACTAAAGGATCAACAGCGTGTAAAGAGTAATATTAACAAGTGTGTGATTTGCGACAAGTTAAGCCACTAAGTCAGGATATCGCTCCTTTACCAACGAAAGAGTAAAAGAGGCAAATCCTTTTGAAGTTGTAGGACTTGATTTTGCTGGTCCTATGAGTACAAATGATGAAACTGGGAAGGCTTATATTGCTCTGTATACATGCGCTGTGCATCTGGAAATAGTGTCTAGCCAAACAGCAAAACATTTTCTTCTGTCCTTTAGAACATATATATAAAGAAGAGGAGTATGTCGAATGATATATTCAGACAATGCAAAAAACCTTCAAAAGAGCAGACAAGGATTTACAAAAACTATGGAATACCATCAAGGACACAGAAGTTCAAAATTATTTTGGTAATAAGGGTATTGAGTGGAAATTCAATATGGAAAAGGCGGATTGGTGGAGCGGTTTCTGGGAAAAGCTTGTTAGATCTATCAAGTCATGTTTGAAGAAAATACTCATAAAGGCTTCACTTAAATTTGAAGAGCTGGAAACAGTTCTAATTGAAATTGAGGCAATATGAAATTCACGTCCGCTGACTTATATTTAAGTTGGAGAACCAAAACCACTGACACCAGCTCATTTTCTAGTTGGACGAAGACTGAAATCTTTACCACCTGGCAAATTTCTTGAACCCGACTCAACTAAAGAAAATTTAACGAAGCGATATAAATACCGGCTAAGATTATTAGAAGGTTTTTAGAAAAGATGGGAAAGGGAATATTTCCTTGAAATTAGAAACGTAAAGGAAATTCAGAGAGGTAATGCTGTAAGAGATCTTTTGAAGGGATCAGTAATTCTAGCACATGAAGAAAAACTACCAAGATTATTATGGAAGATGGGAGTTGTACAGGAGTGTCATCTAGGACGAGATGGAAAGACAAGGGCTTGCACTATCCGTTTAGCTAATAAAAATCATCTTCGTCATCCTGTGCAGTTATTGTACCCGTTATGACTTCAACTCTTTGTACTGAATACAGTGAATTTAAATTGCGAACACTGCGTCTATAAACATATAAACTTGAAGAACATTAAAACAGTTAGTGTTTAAGATAACTTCAGAATCCAATCCTTTGATGAACCAAGAGTTCATCGAGGGGGATGATGTTACAGTTTTATGTTGCTGGCCACGAGAGGGCGCAGCTTTTTTATTCTGTATGCTTGTTATTTTTTTTTTTCTTACCGCATTGCAGATTTTTTTATATAGATGTAGTGGCAAACATGGAAAAATGATGAACGTTCTTCTGTAAGCAAACAATTGTTATAAATAGTTGTGCATAAAGTTTCTGTGTGATAAAAATGAAAGAGAATTCCAAGCGTCATGTGGATTTTCATCGAGGAAGGTAAGCAAAATGATATTCTTATCAAGTAATGCTAAAAATGAGACTAAGAAAATGCAATTAAGAAAAAAAGTCAATAATATCAAAAGGTTGACAACAAACACTCTATTTTTTATTTATTGCATAAATTATGTGAACTAGTTATTATGTAATAAAGTAATTTAATTCACACCATTTGCAATAAAATTATTGCATATATTTACATTGTTTAAATACTTTTTTCCTCCACTGTACGTACAGACGTCACGAAAAAAATCTTCTGAATCCATTTTGAATAGATTTTAGAGTCTGTTTCCGCAAAAGCAGTCCTTTTTTCTCTCCGTACGTACAAATGTCACGCAAAAACATCGTTTAATATATTCAAGAGCAGCCGAAATGGATATGATTCGTTGAAATATGATACCCGAAATTTTTCTCCATTTCAATACTTTCTTTCACTTCGTACAAAGTCAAAAATCAAGAAATACGTAAACTAGTGATTCTCAAATAGTTTTCCACCAATAAAACACTTTTACCCATTAAAATAAAAATATTTATAGTTAGACACCGGTGGTCATTTTTGGAAAGTTTCGACACATAATTTCTAAGAATAGGGGGAAAAAAAATAAGTAGACAGGAGAATGTGACAATTTTAGGATGTTACTATCACATTTTCGGTTTGTTACTTTTAAATAAAATGGACTAATGAATACATTATTTTACTGAGGTAAATGTAATAAACAATTTTAATTGATTATCACTCTTAAATTAAAAAAAAAAAAATGCTTGCATTTCCAGATCATTACCTGGTTTCATATCTGATCGCCAGAAAAAATTGTCTTTACTGTATTCGACTATATATTAGAACTTTTGTGTTCTCAAAAGTACTAAGAAACGAACCACAGAAGTTGGCAGCTGAGGATGATGGTTCGGTAAAACCATTGAAACTAGTCCTGTGAACATTTAGAAATATAACGCTGACTTCTGTTGTTTGATTTAACATTGCATGCATATTCTCTAAACGCATAAAAAACTCCAACCTGAACATAAGAACAACATAATTTCCTCAATTTTAAAGCAAAAAATTCACAATATACCAACATATAAATTTAACTAATTCACTTCTCACTTCGA